GAAAGCCTAGCCTTGTCTACTCTGTGTCCATCCATGGATGGGAAAGCCTAGCCTTGTCTACTCTGTGTCCATCTATGGATGGGAAAGCCTAGCCTTGTCTATCTACTCTGTATTCATCCATGGATAGGAAAGCCTAGCCTTGTCTATCTACTCTGTATTCATCTGTGGACGGGAAAGCCTAGCCTTCTCTAATCTGTCACCTTAGGATATTTGAGTTGGAAGGGACTGTGGAAGGTCATGACTATGCTCTTGGGTGTCACTGTCTTCTCAGGCAGAAAGCTAAAGTAGTCTGCCTTGGATGAGGGCTGCAATTATTCCCACTACTTCTACGCTTCAAAATGTAGGTATTATTGTAGGTTCCTCTCCTGAAACTGACTTGGCACCATGCCTTGAATATGACATAGCACCATGCCTTGAATATGACATAGCACCATGCCTTGAATATGACATCACACCATGCCATGAATATGACATAGCACCATGCCTTAGCTATGACAAGTATTCAGTTGTTTATGGAGTAAATAACAGAGAAGTAAATGCCCTCAAAGAAGACCATATTTATCTTTCACTAGAAAGCTTTGACTATGGAAAACTACATATTCTTATCCTTCAGTTTATGTGCTGAGTCTACTCCATGTGTACCTAGAGTGATCTATAGTTTCTATGGTGAGTACAGGTGCCTCTTCACAGAAACTCATCAAAATGAAGTCTCTTTTCTAAACTCAGTCGCTTCCTCCTGCCCTTGTTATAAAGTCCCTGTTGCACGCCACCATGGGTGCTTCTCAGGGTTCCATCCAAGCTCGGCTCTTCAGACACATGAACACCACAGGAGCCCTGCAGCCCACCTGGCCCAGGCTGCAGGTCCTGTCTCTCCCATGCCTATGACTAAAGCAGACCTACCAAGGCTTCACTTGAAAAGAGACTGGCAAAACCTATAGATGCTGCTTCATATAGAGTGATTGCTTTATACTTCTGAATAACTAAATAATTTAATCAATAATTAGTTACTTCATTAACAATTTAATTATTAACAGCAAAATGACTTAATTAATGAAATTTCTTCCAGATACCTCTATGGTTTCTATTTGGACTGTGTTCTATTCTAACTACTATAAGTTCTTACATACTCTACTACACTCTTTCCTAGAGGAGATGAAAATAAATTGAAGAGAAAGATGATGGTGTTTCTTTTTTTTTTTTTAATTTAAGAATTTTTTTTGTTTTTTTGTTGTTTTTTGTTTGTTAGTTTTGGGTCTTTTTGGGGGGGTTGTTTTTTTGTTTGTCTGTTTTTGTTTTTCGAGACAGAGTCTTTCTGTGTAGCTTTGGAGCATGTCCTGGAACTCTCTCTGTAGACCAGGCTGGCCTCAAACTCACAGAGATCCCCCTGGCTCTGCCTCCTGAGCGCTAGGATTAAAGGTGTGCGCCACCACTGCCCAGCCTTAAGAAGTTTTTTTATTCATTTTACATACCAACCACAAATCCCCCTCTTATCTCTTCTCCTGTTCCTCCAGCCTACCCCTCCTCCTCCAAAAGGGTAAGGCCTCCCATGGAGAGTCAGCAAAGCCTGAGGCAGTACCAAGCCCCTGCCCCCTGTATCAAGGGTGAGCAGGGGTTTAGACCATAGGTAATGGGATCCAGAAAGCCAGTTCATGCACCAGGGATAGATCCTGATCCCACAGTGAGGGTTTGGTGACCTCAAACAGACCAAGCTACACAACTGTCTCCATACGCAGAGGGCCTAGTCCAGTCCTGTGCAGGTTCCACAGCTGTTGGTCCAAAGTTTGTGAGTTCCTACGAGCTTGGTTCAGTTGTCTCTGTAGATTTCCCCATCGTGATCTTGACCCCTGCCCCTTACTCATATAATCCCTATTCCCTCTCTTCAACTTGGCTTCCAGAGCTGGGCCTGGTGCTTGGTTGAGGATCTCTGCATCTGCTTCCAGATGATGGTATTTCTTATCGTCTTCATCAAATACACTGCAAAAGCAAATGACTGTTTGACAGTCATGGGGAAATAGAATGGCCATTGATCTGCCAGGATCACAGTCATACCTGTGTCTGCCTGAAATACCACTTATATCTCTTCTACTGTTCACCCTGTTCTCTACAGGAGAGATTTGGGAGAGGAATTTTCATAAGTAATTTTGATGGTTCTCCTGTATGGCTTTTGTTTCTCAAAGTATTCTTTCTGTTCCACGTGCAGGAGAGACTAGAAAGAAGGTTGGATGAGCCTGGGTCAGTGATGTTTTTCCAGTTGATATTTCCTATTCCCCATGAAGCCATCATGGAACAGGCATAGTTCTAACCACCCTCCTGTACCCTGAAGGTGGGCACCCCATGACCTCAGCTGAGCGCAAAGCCTTACTTCCTAAAAAATCTAGAATCACCAGTAACTTCTTTGCCATTGGCACTTCCTGTCAGCTGGTGCCAAGCTGGCCATGGTCTGCCTCTATATTCTGTTTATTTCTTTATCCTGAAGGAAGAATTGTCCTCTCTAGAAGGCTATTTCTCTAGATATCTGTGCCACCTGCCACATATGTCAATGACCCCTTCTTGCTCTGTTCTAAGCATTACCAGAATTTGGAGGTTTCACAGCCACACAGACACCTAGATTTAAATAGGTAGATAGGTAGGTAGGTAGGTAGGTAGATAGATAGATAGATAGATAGATAGATAGATAGATAGATAGATAGATAGATAGACGGACAGACAGATAGATAGATAGATAAGTACCTGGGAATTCTGTGCTTTAGTCTTTTGTTATTTCAGACTTTCAAGAGGGCTCTAAGACAGTGGCCTTTTATAAAGTTGCTTTGGCCGTAGTCCTCAGGGATGAACAGCATCCCTGGGAGTCTTTACTGTGTCTTTCCTACTCCATCCTTCCAGAATCTTTCCTCGAGAAAACAAGAAATCAGGAACTTGCTTTAATGAATACTCAATTTTATTTTTAGTCTTAAAAGCACTGTGACTTTTCTAAATGGTTATGTTTCCCTTTTTACTTCAGCCACGGGGAAACTGAAAGCCAAATTAGCAGACCAGATGGGGTTCCAAACAGGCACTTCTGTGTGCTAACCACCTGATGCTTATTGGGTGCTAAGCTGCATATCTGCCGCACCACTGAACGCAGTACCAAACCTGGGAGGAAGGCTCTGTTGTACTCTGTTGCACCCCTTTATAAATGTGGAAACGGAGATTCAGTAAAGTTAAAGAAATGCGGCAGAGATCATGACCCCAGAGCACTGAGTATTCATATGCTTCCTAAGCAAAACGTACTATTTTATAACCACAGTCCAATCCTCAAATTCAGAAGTTACTGTGGATGAATGTTATTATCTTCTACGTAATTCATATTAAAATGATATTGTCCTGAAACCTATCTTAAGAGAAAGTAGATTCTAACACATAGATACTACGTTAAAAATAATCTTACAGAATTTCAGAACAAAAGACATTTGTTTACAAATTCATACACTTAACAGAAGGAAATCCAAATCATTATTTAGCCTTCATGCTGTTTGATCACCTTGAATGTGGAGGCTGCAACATACATTGGTAACTGGGCTTCATCGGTAACTGTTGCTCTGAGCACTTGGAGAGAGGACTGAACAAAGGCATTATTAAGTGACTTTAGTGCCATGTTTTTAAGATTGCTGCTATGTTATGAATGTACAGTAAGATTGACTTATGTTGGCTAATGCTAAGTATAGTAGTTCACTTTTTCTGAGGTTTTAAATGCCTCTCTTAGTATTTTTTTTACCTATATTAGTAGAATTTTTCACTGACCTTCTCAGTGGGCTCCTGTGACCAAAAATCGTAAAGAAATCATGAGGTGAAAACCAAGTGTAAATCAGGAATATTACCAACTCTTGTCTCAAGTCCTACTGTAAATTTAAATATCCAGAGAACACTGTGTGCAGATAAGCCTAAGAAAGGCAGTTAAGGTTTTTTTGTCACTGAAGGAGACTTTGGGATGAGATGAAGCACACAAAATTGGAAAGCTTCTGACCAAGGAGGCGCAAGCAAAAGAAGCTGTCATAAGCCTATAACACGGGCTGTTTCTTCTTCTCTGGATTCAGAAAGGAAGTTAAAGGAAAAAATGGCTTAAGGAGACAGGCACCAGTATCAAAAGAATACAGGGGGCTGGAGAGATGGCTCAGCAGTTGAGATCTATGGTTGCTCATCTAGAGGACTCATGTTCAATTCCCAGTACCCACATCATGGCTCACGAGCATCTGTAACTCTAGTTCCAGGGGATTGGAAGGCCTCTTCTGGCCTCTGGGACACGAGGCATACACATGGCACATAGACATGCATGCAAGCAAGACACTCATATACTTAAAATAAAAATTTAAAGAGGAAAAGAATCCATGCATACATGTTATTATATATGTGCAGCAAAGGTTAAGATACTTGTAAGTTTTATGTTTATAAGCCCTTGTTAAGAATTTCTATATAAAAGCATATTTGAAATGTTTCATTTATGTTCCTAACCTGTCCCCCTCTGAATAAATATCTTTCAGCTGAATAAGTCACAGCCTAACTCACTGTGATATTTATTATGCTGTCAGTTTTTCATTTCACAGGCCCGCTATAAGTCTACTTAGTATGGTGTCTGTGTAATTGAGACATATGCGCGCATACATTAATGCATGTTGCTAAGAAATCCAGTCATTTTTAAAAATATAAGCTTTGGTATTTCAATCCAAGCAAAAGACCCCTTTGGGGACAAGGAAAATATACATTAATTTGCTCACTAATTATCATGAAATAATGAACCTGGTGTCAGTTTGGAAAATATGCGTATGTGTCACCAATCTGAAGCAATATTTTGTTGCTTCACTTATTTTTCATGTTTTTGTATTTGTTAATTTTATTTAGTTTTATTTTATTTTGCATACATGGGTGTTTGCCTGCATGCAAATATATATACTACATGCTTATAGTGTCCACAGAGGTAAAAAGAAGGTATTTGATCCCCTAGAACTGGAGTTACATGTAGTTTTGAGCCACCATGTGGATGCTAGGAATTGAACCCGGGTCCTCTGGAAGAGCAACAAATGCTTTTAAGCACTGACCCAGCTCTCTGGTCCCATGTTTGATTTTATTTTTTTGTACTCCTGGGAACTGAGCATAAAACCTTGAGTCTGACATTTGGTGGAGCTCAGGGAATCCTGCAGAAGAGAAAGAAGGATTGTAGGAATCAGAGGGGTCAAAACCTCTCAAGAAATCCCACAGAATCAGCTAACCTGGGCTCATAGGAGCTCCCAGAGACTGAACTGACAGCCAGGGAGCCTGCACTGGACTGACCTAGGCCCTCTGCACATGTGTGACAGTTGTGTAGCTTGGTCTTCTCATGTGACTCCTAACAGTTTGAGCAGGAGCTGTCTCTGACTCTTTTGCCAGGTTTTGGGACCCTATTCCTCGTACTGGGTTGCCTCCCCTAGGCTTGCTCCCACGGGAGGTGCCTAGTCTTACTGTAACTTGGTATGCCATGTTTTGTTGATATCCATGGGAGACCCGCCCTCTTCTGGAAAGGGTCTCTTCTGTAAGGGGAGGGGTTACAGAAGAGTGGAGGGAACTGGGAAGAGAGGAGGGAGGGAAACTATGGTCAGGATGCAAAATAAGAAGAAGAAAAAGAGAGGAAAAAACCCTTGAGTTTCCTAGACTTACCACTAAGCCACACCCTCATTCCTCTTTTTACATCTCATCTTGAGACAGGGTCTTGCTCCCTTCTCCGGGCTAGCCTTGGACCCACTCTGTGTGTAGCCCAAGCAAGCCTCAAGTTTGTGATTCTCTTGTCTCAACCTCTGAGGTCACTGAGATGACAGGCCTGCACCCCTGGGCCTAGCTAGTTCTACTTTCCCTGCGGTTTCGTTTCTTTCCCTCTCTGGAGGATTTTTTCATACCCCTTAATGTCAACATAAATGATAGAGTGCAGATTGGTTTCCATTCTGCTGACAGTTTAATAGAAATTCCGTAAAACAAACACAAGCTTTATTCATCATTTTTCAGTTATAGAGCAAGTATGTGGGAACATGTCGTCCTGACTTCACTTTATGAAACCAAGCCCAAACCAAATACTTCAGAATGATTATGGCCAGTAATGGCCATTGCTATTTCATCCCAGAAGAGTGCCAATTGCACACACGCTAGAACAGACTTTAAACTGCATCCCTATGTCAGATTCCCAGAGGTCGTAGCAAATTTTATGTGAATTTATAGTACTTGTTTTGGATCTCGAAGATCTGTAGGGCTAGCCCTTTTCAGTAACTGTTAGGATTGTATTTGATTTCTGAAGCCCATAGGGCAGAACAAAGCCAGCCAGATAGTAAACACAATGTGGAAATGCCAAGAAGGATTTCTACCCTGTTTCTATCCTGTGACTTCTTTCACATAACAGCACCCTTCACATTACAGTCATTTACCCATTGAAAAAGTTATCTACCTGGTAACGGTATCAAAGACTAGACATACCCTCTTGGAGACAGTCCACCACACCCCCACAGAACCAGGAAATGGCTCAACCTGACTGTTTTTCTGATGACGGTGACTTCTTTCTTAGACAGCGCAAGGACGAGCTAGAGCAGAGGATGTCTGCTCTCCAGGAGAGCCGGAGAGAGCTAATGGTCCAGTTGGAAGGTCTCATGAAACTACTGAAGGTAAGTCACTTCACGGCAGTGAGTCTGACCTACTATTACGCTGTTTTAAAATTATTTGCACATAACTTGCAATGACTTTTCCAATTACTATGTGCAATTTCCTCCCAACATGTTGTGAACTCAAATGTTAAACTATTTCTTAAGCGTGTGAAACAGGAGCAGTTGATCAGTAGTAGCTCTCATTCTCACCTACTTTCTGGAATTAGGCTGCTAAAGACCACAGGGCAAATTCTTTGTTTATCTTCAGTCTCTTTATGTCCTTTAATATTCTAAAACTGGATTTGTTTGTAAACGCTTTTGTTCAGTTTTAGCAGTTCTGACTAGCTTGACACAGACTAATGTCTAATTTGTAAATTAAGAAATAGCAACTAGCCAGGTGGTGGTGGCGCACGCCTTTAATCCCAGCACTCGGGAGGCAGAGGCAGGCGGGTCTCTGTGAGTTCGAGGCCAGCCTGGTCTACACGGTGAGTTCCAGGAAAGGTGCAAAGTACACAGAGAAACCCTGTCTCGAAAAAAAAAAAAAAGAAAGAAATGGTGACTAAACAAATCTTAACGATAATGGCAAATCTTTTATTGCGTTTCTGTGGCTCCTGTTGGTCACATGACTTCCATGGGTCTCCAGTGCAAACTGAGGGAAAGGTAGAAGTCCTGTAGAATGCAGTCGGTTATTATTTCATTGTAAGTGGCAATCTGCTTTAATAAGCTCTCGTTTCTGTCACCAGTGTATGCTAAATTACTTTCCAAGTTAACAGCAGATAGACACATGGCCACTTGGGCAACAGTGATGTCGGTGCTGTGTGGTCATCTGGCCCAAGGGAAACCTGGGGACCAACATAAACAGGGGCTGCCATGTGCCACAGGCCGCAGCTGGGACTTCTGATGGGAGATCCGCAGGGGGATGTCCCTGTGCATTCACCGTGAGACAGGAATTTCAGACTAGTTTTCAGTCCACGCATTCCCACCCC